AAAATTGCTTTTGTTGTTGATATAGGTTTGGTGCATATAATCCCACAAGAAGACATTTTTTCCCATTCAAGATGATTTCCACAAATACAAATCTTCCTTCTGCATCAGTATCTATTAATTTTGGTATCAATTCCTTCTTGATATAAAGAACTACACCCGCTTTTTTCTTTTGAGAGGAGGCCACAAAATGTACACCCAAAGACTCTTTAACCATCATAAATATGAATCAGTTGCTAAGTATCTGAATTTTGATCATGTGACCATAGGGATGCTGCAATAGTTGTAAGTATAAAAATGGTCATAAATCACTTTTTTAGTGCCTTTGTAACTTTGCATGGTCATTAAATAAACTGATGTAAGTTGAGGACTACATATATATTTACTTATATATTCATTTGAAGTACTAGCATGCTAATTGTGGAATTTCCTCCCTAGGGATGGGGGATCAGTTCCCTATATTGTTTTAGAAGGAAAGAAAGACTATACTATTTTATATGTATTACTGTTCCTCAGTTTGAGAGCCACTTCCAAATTTCTCTGTATAAGAATTCTTCCCTTTAATTTTATAAGGCACTTTTAGTATATTTTTAAATTGTATTTCCCTGGGCACATGCTAATTTGAAAGGTGTAATATATAAAGTTATTTCATAAATAAATATAAATGTGTTATTTTATTTGTCATTGCTTTGCTAATACATCATTAACATTTACTCTTTTTTTATATCCGAATCTGTGCTTAGGGAAGAAAGACTTGAGTTCATCATTAACATGGGGATTTGGTAATTATTTTTTCTTATAACTTTTTTAAAAAAAATCTTTCATAATGTAGCAATATTATGATTGTTTCTTTGGCTCTTCCTTCTTATTCTCTTCCTATTGTTATGATCAACTTTAAAATAATTTGCAGAGTTTGTCTTATAATGTTAACTAGTTAGACCTTGCAGAAGGAACACAAAAATGTGCGCCACATTTATTATACATAATTATACATCATACATTATCAGCACATGGCGGGAATCCATATATCAAAAGGCAAACTGAAATTTATGTACAGTTAATCCAGCATATAAGAACACTTATTTTGAAACAAATATAGAAATCAATTAATTTTGAGATTGTTCAAAGGATGCTTAGATATAAAAATCTGCTGACTAGACCAAATGTCTGTTCTCCGTAGAAGATGAAGAACCAAAGACCTACGAAGCAAATGGAACCAGGAAATATTCAAAGAAACCATCAAAGCCAGTAGACTGGGTTTTGTGAAGAATGAATCGACTTTCATGGTAAGATGGTCACTTGGGGTAAAGAAAGGTATAGTATAGAACAAGAATGTGTAGAATGTAAGTCCAGTGAAGGAATGTAAAAGGAATCTCTTGAATTGATACTGGCTATCATTCCTTTGAAATAGGCATTGTCAATGTATAAATCACTAGCTCGCTCCTCTAGTGCAATGTCTGGATTCCTGAGATCTGTGTTTTCATAATGCATGAACACTTAACAAGGGTTTCAAATTCCTTTGTGTATAATATATGTTGGGAGGGGAAAGATGGAATTGGAATAGCTGTTTTTCAAAGAGAGATGAAGACGATTATTTATGAAGCTAAAAATGATATTGAAAAGATTCTGCAATTTCTTTTTTAAAATAAAATTGGGTCAATTATCTAGAAAGATTATTGAGTGGTGTGATGGGCTAGTGGTGAAGATGCTTGCCTCCCACTCATAAGGTTGAGAGTTCAATCCTAGTCAGCCACAGATGTTTCCCTATCAGGATGCAACGAGAAAATATCTGCTGCAATTTCCGCGTAGGGATCAGGAAGGGCATCCGGCTAGTAAATGCTCAGCTCCATTCAATCTCCCTGACTCTACCCCTGACTCTACTCTATCTTCTTTCTAGTATTTTTAGTGAAGGTTAAAAAGAATAGATGAAATTCTAAAAAAGTAAATCTACTAAAATTCCTTTGACAGTTTCAGAATATATTAGAATTATAATTTTGTTCCTTAAAATGTTTTCTTTTTGCCAGATGTTAAGAAGAATTCTTAGGATTTGTGCAGTGCTCTTTCACAATGTAATGTCAACATAATAAAGGTATAAATTCATAAGGTATAAACAGCTGTTTGTGGGCATGAAGAAACTTGTTTACAATAAAAGGAACAATCAGCATCATCAAGTATTAGTCAATTATATTAACACAGAAACAGAATGCAATCTGTGTTGACAGCAAACCTTTTTATAATAATATATTTACATCATGTGCATCTTATTGCTTCTCACAATGCAACGAGACACACGAAGAAGCTATATAATCATGAACCGAAATAAATCACTACATGGAAGAATAGATCTGAGACATTTCTAATTATTTCAAGACTTCTCTTTTGAAATGATAGTGACAATTAGTGGTTTAATTCTTGTTTCTTGAATTGATACTACTTCTTTCATATACATCTTATAGAGTGCATATTAGCAATCAATCAGAATAAAGCTGAAAAGGACTTTGGAGGTCTTCTAGTCCAGAGGTCTCCAAACTTTTGGGCACCAGGGACTGGTTGCATGGAGAGAGGGTCATCTTGTGGATGGATGTTGCCTGCATCTTGCGGATGGGGCTTTGCTTGTTTGTGTGGCCCGGTTGCTGGTATGCTGTGGCCTGGTACTGGTCCATGGACCGGGGGGTTGGGGACCCCTGTTCTAGTCCAACCCCCTGCTCAAGCAGAAAACCCTATATCATTTCAGACAAGTAACTGTCCAATCTCTTCTTAAAAACCTCCAGTAATGAAGCACCCACAACTTCTGATGGCAAGCTGTTCCACTGGTTTATTGTCCTCATTGTTAGGAAGTGTCTCTTTAATTCCAGGTTGCTTCTCTCCTTGATTAGTTTCCAACCATTGTTTCTTCTTCTGCCATCTGGTGCTTTGGAAAATTAGTTGACCCCCTTCTCTTTGTGGCAGCCCCTCAAATACTGGAATATTGCTATCATATCCCTCCTAATCCTTCTTTTCTCTAGACTAGCCAAACCCAAACTGCAACTGGTCTTCATATGTTTTAGTCTCTAGGCCTTTAATCATCTTAGTTGCTCTTCTTTGCACTTTTTCCAAAGTCTCAACATCTTTTTTATAATGTGGTGACCAAAACTGGGTGCAAGACTGACGCAAAGTATGAGTTAAGCAGCTCTGCTTTCTCCCTATTGCCTGTAATTTCTTTGCCATTTTCTCTCTTTAATGGGCCTACAGTTTCCTTGACTTATTTCTTGTTGAAATAGTATGTTGAAAAAACTTTTTTTATTAACCTTGATTTCTGTTGCAAGTCTTTGTTCATTCTGAGCCTTTGCTTTCCTGACTTCATCTTTGCATGTTTTGGCTGTTTGCTGATAATCAGCCTTGGTTATGTGCCCCCCTTTCCGTTTTTTGTATTTGTCCTTTTTGTCTTTCAGTTAGAGAGATCTTTGTGCAGCTATGCTGGTTTTTTCTTGGATTTGTTTTTCTTTCTCAATGGTATTGTGCTGATATGGGCTTTTGTGATTGCATTTTTCAGGATTTCCCACGCTTCTTGGGTGGTTTTCCTTTTTAGGATTTGTATTCAAGGGATCTTTCCTAGGTTCTCTCTGAGTTTGTTAAAGTTGGCCCTTTTGAAGTTTAAAACATTGGTTGGATTGTTTTCTATTGCTAGTGTTTGCATTATATAAAATTCCAATATGACGTGGTCACTTACCCCCAAGATTCCGGCAATTTCAATTCCCTCTATCACTTCTTCTCTATTTGTAAGGATTAAGTCCAGTATAGCTTTATGTCTAGTTCCCTCCTCCACCTTTGGTGACAAAGTTGTCAGCTAGGTTGGTTAGGAATCTGTTTGGTCTCCCACTCACTGCAGAGTTTGTCTCCCAGTTGATATCTGGTTAGTTGACGTCTCCCATTACTACTGTGGTATGCTTCCTACATACATTTGTTAACTGGTTGGCAAAATGTCATATATTTCTTCGGATTGGTTGGTTGGCCTGTAACATACCCCTAAGCAATATCACTCTTTTTTCCTTTTATATTGACTCATATGGATTCTAGAGGGACTTTATCTTTGATCATGTGCATTTCTGTAGATATGTAATGATCTCTTACATGTAGTGCAATTCCACCTCCTGTTTTTGTAGATGTTTCTTTTGAAAATTTGTATCCATCAGTACATTCCAGTCATGGATTTTATCCCACCAGGCTTCTGTAATGGCAATTATATCATACCTACCCTCGTGTACTATTCTTCTAGTTCATCCTGTTTGTTCCCCAAGCTTTTAGCATTTGTACATAAGCATTTAAGATTTTTATGCCTGTCCATGGGTATGTTTCCTGCATCTTCTACTTTTTGTTTGAGTTTTTTTCTCTCATCACTCCCTCCCTCATTGTTCGATTTGTTTTCTTGGGACTTATGATTGGTTTTGTGTTCTAGAGGCATTGCAGAAAAATTGTGTTGTCTATGGTGGCAAAAAAACAACAACAGAAAATGTCTGTTGGCCCCTTTTTTGACTAACACGTTTTTAAAGAAGCATACACTTTTGCTGGCTACAAATTTGGCTTTTTAATAAAATGTATTAGTTGGAAAAAGTGCTACTGGACTAGTTTTAATTAATGTAGTAAGTTATGCTGATGGAGGTTTGTAATTTATAGTTTTAGTTTATATGACATATTTTCTAAGCATAGGACTTCCAATAATTATTGCACTGAATGGATTTTAAAAAATCATGTTATGATTTTCTTTTAAAAAATTTATTTTCCAGTACCTAGTTTTTTCTGTTTATAACCAAAATAGGAATAATATTTCTCCAGCACCAATATTCTATTCAGGCAGCTGCTTTCTATCTTGTATAGTACAGTTCAAAAAGATCCACCTATTAAATTGCAATTCCTTATTTCTGATATTTTCCAATATAGGAATGAGTTTCTCCTGATTCCTAACAGAAGAAAGGTACTTGAAAACAAGAAAGAGATGAGTTTCTCTCATCTAAGAATTTGCTCTAAAATTCAGACACTCTACAATTAATTTACTGCATTTCCACTAACTTTTTTTTGTCAGATTCACGGTGAGAAAATTATATTTTGCCAAAACATTATTAATGCCCTGAACATTGTAACATTCTAGTGTTTTGTTCTCATTCTGAATATTCTGAGTATGCTGAATCTTGCACTAAATGTTATTCAATGAAACTGTATAAACATATATATTAAGATGCTTAATTGCAATTCTGAATTTAATAAACATAATAATGACTGAATCAAGTTTGTATTCAAAACCCAGCTAAGGTTTTAAGAAAAGTTGATTATTCATTGGCTGATTTAAAAATATTTTCCATATGGTTAAACGTTATAGTAAGAAATACAGAGAAATTAAAGGCAGGTACAAAATCACCTTAAATTAATGGCAAAAATTCAGTTACAGATAACTGAGTTACGAATCTAATGGAGCCTGCCTATTCCATTCGTAACTTGAGAATTCATGGGAGTGAATCTCATATCTTGAAAGAGATCACTCCCGGCCTTCGCCCACGCATTTGCTAATTGAATGCGTTGGTGAATGCGCAGTTCATTAAGTGCACACAAGGTATCTCAGTGTAGGGAAGGCCATGGGGGGGGGGCTAGTGATGGAACAGGCCTCCAAGGCCTGCCCGACCCACAAGAAACCTAATGCTTCCCCCTGCCCTTCCTGCCGTGCCAGATTCACCTTGCAAAAATCTTCTCTGCGGTGGTTTCTGCCTTTAAGAGTCAATGGAAACTGCTGGGTGCTGTAAAATCGCGCAAGTTCAGGCACTGATCCTCTTTTGCAGAGAATGGGTGCCTGAACTCTTGCAAGAACATGGACCCCAGAAACTGATTTTGGGGGTGAAAAATGTTTGCAGTGTCTGTCTCCTGCTCCCCACCCAATACCTTTCTGCCACTGCCGGAACACTTTTTACCCAGATGGAGACCTTGGTGAGACCGGAAGCTCTGTCTGGCTGCAAATGGGGTGCTTTGAGACGCTCTGTTTTGCAGCAATTCAAAGTGCTCCATAGGTGTTCAAACACTTTTTAGCTGGATGGAGACCTTAGGGAGACTGGAAACTCCATCTGGCTGCAAATGGGGCACTTTGAAATGTTCCATTCTGCTCTGTTTCAAAGCACTCTATAGGCACTCAAATACTTTTAGCCGAAGACCTTGGGGAGACTGGAAGCTCCATTGGGCTGCAAACGGGGCAGTTTGGAATGCTCAATTCTGCTCTGTTTCAAAGCTCTCCATAGGTGCTCAAACACTTTTTAGCCGGATGGAGACCTTGGGGAGAGTGGAAGCTCTGTATGGCTACAAATGGGGTGCTTTGAAATGAAGCGTTTTGCTCCATTCCCAAGCGCCCCATTTGCAGGCAGGCAAAGCTAAAAAGTGTTCTGGCGGTGGTATCGCAAACACTTTTATCCTGAAAATCAAAGTTTCTGGGGTCCATGATTTCACAAGAGTTCAGGCACCCATTTTCTGTAAGAGGGATGGGTGCCTGAACTCGTGCGATATTACAGCACCTGGGAACTTCCATCGACTCTCCTCTCCTCTCCTTCAAAGGCAAAGAAATTGCATCAGAGAGGATTTTGCAAGGTGAATCTGGCATGGCAGAATAGGAGGGGGAAGCAGTTGTGGGGAACACGGGGGGGATAGGGTTAATGTTGCAGAGCTTCTGCAGTTGTTCATAAAGGCGAACAACTGCCGCGGTGCTGCAACATTCGTAATTTTGGGACTTGCTTGTAAACACTAGGGGGCACTTATCGCGTAACTTCGAATGAGCGCTAAGTGAACGCTTGTAACTCGGGGATTACCTGTATTAATTTTATATAGGTTTTCTCATCCCAAATGATAAAATTGAATCCACTGACAGAGAAACAGATTTGACTAGATTTTAGAACAATTCTTAACTACGGGTGCTGTTTTACTAAAGAAAATTTTATGAAGTGAAAGGGCTACATCTCATTAAAAGAAAATAACCAAGAAATTATTACATCTCCTTTTGCCTAGTGCATGCTCCCCGAAAGATGGAGAAAATTAATTTGTCATTTCTATAAAATCCAATTAAGTTTAACAAAAAATAACAAAATTAAATAGCTGAATATAGAATGAGACAAAAATGTAAAAATATACAAACAAGTCATACATATATAAACAATACTTTTATAGTATAAGTTCAAAAAAACTGATTAACAAGGATTTTTTTCAAGAAAATTGTTATTCATTGCTGACAGTAAATTCAGTCTTAAATTCTTAATCAATTTTAGCATACTAAAACCTCAAATAATCCACATAAAACAATGCTGAGAAAAGAATGCAGCTATATAATCAAGAAAATGGCTTAGTACTTTTGTAGATATAATTAATATACTTTCCACCTAGATCCAAATTACTTGGATGTATCAGTACTTGCATGTTATAGGAAATGTGTACAAAAAGGAGAACAAATGAAATAATAATAATAATAATAATAATAATAATAATAATAATAATAATAGAATTGGAAGGGACCTTGGAGGTCTTCTAGTCCAACCCCCTGCTCCAGCAGGAAACCTATACCAGGGGTGTCAAACTGCTGGCCTGCAGGCCGGATGCGAAACCGCGCCCACCCCATTGCCGGCAATGGAAAAAAAGTCACGATACGTCACGTGACGTTGTGAGTTTGACACCCCTGCCCTATACCATTTCAGACAAATGGTTGTCCAGTCTCTTCTTAAAAACTTCCAGTGATGGAGCATTCACAACTTCTGGAAGCAGGTTGTTCCATTGATTAATTGTTCTAACTGTCAGGAAATTTCTCCTTAGTTCTAGGTTGCTTCTTTCTTTGATTATTTTCCATTCATTGCTTCTTGTCCTGCCCTCAGATGCTTTGGAGAATAGCGTGACTCCCTCTTCGTTGTGGCAACACCTGAGATATTGGAACACTGCTATCATGTCACCCCTAGTCCTTCTCTTCATTATATACCCAATTCCAGCAACCGTTCTTTATATATTTTAGCCTCCAGTCCCCTAATCATCCTTGTTGCTCTTCTCTGTACTCTTTCTAGAGTCTCAACATCTTTGTAAATGTAATGTAATGAGTTAAAATAATTAACTCATTAAGCACAAGAATACTAAATTCTAAAACAATATTTTAAATAATAGCTAGTTTCAGAAACCACTTTCAAGGAATGTTTTTCTCCTGCTTCACCTAGTGTTTAATGAGTCCTGAAAACTTGAAATTAAAACTGATATTTTTTTTTGGCTGAAACTGCACTTTAGGACAAAAGTACTCTGATCTCATTTAGGCCTAATTACCTCTCTCATATTATTTATAAAACATGGGTTATTTAATAACTGGGTTATTTTCATTCTGGCATCTCTTGGCAAAGGATGCACAGAACTTGTTTTAGAAAAAAAATCCTGATTTTTAGTTAGACTCTCATCTTGATTCAATCATCATAGAATGCTTAATTTGTTATTATTGGCCAAAAAACATGGAGTTAATCTTATTTATAACTCTAAATGTTGTCTCTTGGCAAGTGGTTTCTTTAGGGGCCTTGGTCTTTGCAGACCATTGCTGTTGAGTGGAATAGGCAAGAGAAAGAATTTTTCCCAGTTCCTGAATCTGTCAAACTATGAACTGTTAAACAGAAAAATAGCTTAAGTAAGAAAAGTACAATTAGTAAGGTTTTAGCTGTATTGTTACTATTAATGCACATTTTAAATTAAAATTCTGTAGTAACTGATAGTAATTTGGATAAATATAGGAGTGGCACTTAATGCACTGCGAATCTATTTTTATAGTGCTTGACAAAAGTATGAAGTAAAACACTGTAATCAATAATTACAAAACAGATTTCCATTTAAAAAGTTAAAGTAAGAATGCAGATTATATCATATTATTTCCAGATAATGCCAGCTTTATCTTAGTCTATATGCTTTCATTGTGCTGTACATTTTATAAGGTAAAAGAGAGGTGAAAATAAGCCATTTAACTCCCATAATTAGAAACATTAAATGGGTTTGTGGGGATACTTTATCTTAATTTTATAGTTCTAAAACTGTTGCATGAATCATTAATATTCAGTGAATAGTTACAACTAAAAATTGACCAGCAAAAAAAATGAACTGAAGATACCTTGTTTTTTCATATATGCATTTTAGTTACTACTCAAAGAAAAAGTTACAAAGAAAAAGATTCTGCAGCTTAAGAATGTATTTTTTAAACTAAAATCAATGTGTTTCAGTGTGAAGAAAAAATATAATAAAAAGATGCTTTGCTTTCTCCACTGAAAATCAGAGAAAAATATCAGTTTAACCTTGTTGAGTTTAGCTTTGCTGAGTTTATTTATGATGTGTTAATTAAGGCTTGAAATATTCAAAAATTAATTTCAGCATCATTTCCAAGACAAAACATTCATTTTAGTTCAATTAAAGTGCCAACATGAATTAAATTACAGCTATCTAGCTGGCATAACTTGATTTATTTTAGTTCTTTGCTGCTTTATGTTTTGAAACCCTTCAAAACAAAAGGTGATCACAATTCAATAATCTCTCTTCCAGTGACCTAGGATTGAAACAGATATATTTGCCCTATGGAATGTGTAGAACAGAGTGTTTAGTAAGTGTGAAATTTGACAAATTTATATCAGACAGCTGCAATGCAAAAAGCACACAAAGCTGTCTCTCAAATCCATGGTCACATTTAATGGCTCTTATGGAATTCAAATCCAATTTGGTTACAAATTTCACTTAACATCTATGCTGTTTTTGTTTTCAAATGGAGTTTCTTATTTTTCTGAAATCTTGCATTTGCTCAAGAAAATACAAAAAGGAGTATGGCTACATAGGTAACAACATTTCTTCAAAAAGTAAAATGTAACAAATAAAAAATTATAAGTCAATCCTGTTTCAAGTTGTAAGAGCTCTCATTTCTGGTTCTTAGGTTAAGATCTGATGAGTTTAAAGCCTTGTCCTGTATCCAATACTGTAGGAAGAAACCAACTCATTTTTAATCGTTTTAAGCACCTAAAACAAATTTTGCAAATCCAGAAGAGATTAAGCCCACAAAACCAGCTTGCAAGATGAACCAATGGGTATGTGATGCGGGGAAAATACATCATCCAGTGCTTGGCAACATCATTTTCAGTTGGCAAATGTAAAGTGTAGTCACTCCACCCTTTTGACACTCCATACACAGCTTTCACAGTACGCCCCTTTTCAAGCCAGCTGATATTGTGATTAGAATTACAATTGTATTCAACCCAATCTTGGGTGAAATCACCAAGATGGGGAGGGTCTGATTCTTCTATGTCTACTACTTTAGCCAGTTCTGCTCCTTGCACTGCGATATACAAGTCACTGACTTTTCTGACTTCTTTAACCCAAGGCTGAGCATTCTCACAGTCTAAGACTATAATAAGCCGTGAACAAAAGGAGCCATTCTTGTCTCTCCACCAGTCTAAAAGCGTGTCAAGCTGTAATGAATCTCCACCTATGAGAGAGCCAGAAATGCAATAATTACCAAAAAGAACAATTCCTATTTTATACCAGTCTCATGTTTGTCATATGATTTTTTTAAATAACACTAAAAAAATTAGCACGACCTGCAAGAATACCCTCAACTTTGTTTTGTTCAGATCAAGTTCATTACAGGGATCCTATCCATGAAAAAAATCACTACTGAAGCTCCATGCAGCCAATACATGGAGGAAAAAAATACTTCTGATAATAAATTAAAAATACACTGTCTACTTCTTTGGAATGTAGAATGTAGAAGTTTGTCTTCTCCCATCTTTTTCTTAAAGCACTGGTCATACTTGGAACAATTAAAGTATGCTATAATCTGTCTGACAAAATGCTCTTAAAATGAAAATGAAAAATATGTCTTAATGTTAACCATGAATTAATATTATTAGCCGACAAATGCACAGGAGATGAAAAACCAAATCAACCAGTCTTTGGACTATATATAGTGGTGTGTGTGTGTGTGTGTGTGTGTGTACACACATACACACACACACATATATTATTTGTATACACACATACATACACATTATACACACACACACATATATACATATACAATGTATATAATATATGGTATGCATTGAAATAATACAAGGTTCATGACTTTTGTATCTCCAATTCTGGGTCTAAAGTGTGAAATACAACCAGAACAGTATAAAACAATTCTGCAATAATGGTTTCTTAAGTACAAGTTATTCATTCAGATTCAAATAACATATTGGACCAGAGCTAAGATACTTTAAGAAAAACAAGACCTGATTATATATAAATCAAAATTATGCATTCTGTTTATGAATCAGGACAGATATCAATATGCTTTGGAACTATCAGCTTTTGCAAAAAAAATTAAAAAAAATGTTTTTCCTGAATCAACAGTCAGTGCATCTAAGTGGGGCAAAATAATCGCACCCCTATGGGGCTTTCCTGTTTTTGTTAAGCAATTCCCATTATAACTCTAAAAGAAGCAACATTTTATGTAATCAGAGTTAACTAGAGCAGTTATGCAACCAAGGAAATACCATTCAAGGAAGGAGTTTACTTTTAATTAGATGAGAAATTAGTTTTAAGATCTCTATAAATTCTTTTACAATGATATAAAAATGTTAAAACTCTTGTTTTGAAAATTTTTGATCATTAAAATATTTGTTACACATTTCTAGAAAATACAATTACAAAGTTAAGGAGTTCAGTCATTGTTTAGCTTGCAATCAAATGATATCTCGTGATTAGTAGAGTAATATTTTCACTGTGTCAAGACTGACTCGTAACACACCTCTACTTGCAACTTGACAACAGAAACAAAGGGTGGGGGGAGGGGAATGCTTAGAATGTATTGGGAGCTATGAGGGAGGTGAGAAATTTATGTGAAACACGTTTGCAGCCTAAAAAAATCCTGACACTTCAAGGCTGTTCAATGGGAACCTTCGGAAGGCACAGACTGTTTTCCCAAAGTAAAAAGAACATGTTGGATTGGTGGACAATGGGTGGCACAAATGGGGAAAAGGGGAAATTAACTATGCCTGTGCCTGTATGGATCTATCAGTAAAGTTATACTCTTGGTAAAATAATGTCCCAGGGTTTTTTTTTTTGCTGCATATGCCAACGGGACAATTGACATTAAGCTAACTCTCCAACAGTAGCCTACCTGGACCCCACTGGGAGGCCAACAACCCCAAGATGTCGGCAGAATCAGAGAAGAAGTCGGGAGAAATCCCAGCCTGAGAGGCTCTGGCAACAATAAGTACGAGAGAGCGAGCGAGGGACACCTGATACCAAGTCCCAAGACTTGCTGGGTGATGAACGTGGACAAGGTGGCAGATGCCAAAAAGCTTTTAGTCTCCTTGGGAGTCAATGTGATCCAAGGGAGCAGGTGGAAAATGAGATGGCCAGTCGAGTGGGACGAGCCTACTAAATGGAAGCTCCCAATTGCCACTTGTAGCACATCGATGGAGCAGCTGAGGGAGAAGTTTGGCAGCTTGGAGATCTGGGCAGCCATGTAACCTAGGGCCACAGTGGCAGTAACCAGGACAGGAGGACTCAAGTCACTAGCGGTGTCGACTACGCCACTGCTCCATCTCCTACAGCCAACTGCCCATCCCGACCGGCATGGCTGGGATCTTGGCGCAGGGAGCAATGGCAGCTGGACCTGTTACCCTACCCCCGGCATGGCAGCAAGTGGTTCTGGTGGCTCCAGCAGCAGCTGGAGTCTCTGCACTGGTGCTGGTGGCAGGGCTGCCACTGGGATATGTCCTGGTGCAAGAGGAGTGGTCGCTACCCCCCAATGGTCCGCTTTGATGGGACCCAGACAATCTGGCCCACTTCCTGGCCCAAGTATGGCACCATATGGAGTGTTACGGAGAGATGTATCCAGATGATGCAACCTGGGTTCATGTCGTATCTAACTTGGAATGGAGCGCTTCAGGATGGCTGGTGTCCCTACATAATGAGAAGACTTCGGAGTTGAATGACCTGGATGCCTTCATGCAGACTGTGCAAGAGTGATTTGAAGACCCCATGGCAGCTTGATGGGCAAAAGCCCGCATCCGTACCTGAAGCAAGGCAAGCGGCCGGTGATGGAGTACATCCAAGACTTCCGCAGCCTGGCTAGCCACTTGAGAGACTGGCCTCCCCTCTCCCACCTCCAAGCCAGCTGAAGAAAGAAACAGACCCAAGAAGCCAAAAGAGAGAGGATGGAACTCTAAACCCACCAGAGTGGGCCCAGTCTTCTACAAGAGTGACAGCGAAGGAGAAGACAAACTGACAGTAAGTGGCACCATCATCCCCATGATGGCCAGAGTGGTGTCCTCAGGGTTAAAGGGGGTTCTAATGGCCCTATTCGACTCGGGGTGCATGAGGTGTATGATTAGCCCCGAGGTGGTAGAGAAACTAGGGAAGAAACTGAGAAAGCTGAGACAGCCCATGGCATTTTCCCAGTTGGATGGCTCAATAATGGGCGGAGTGCCAAAAATCTGCCTGACCGAGCCAGTAAAGCTCAAAGCTGGGGCCCACATAGAGACTATTCATCTCATTGTAGTCCCCAGGATGACCAAGCTCATGGTCCTAGAGTTAACATGGTGAAAAAAGTGGAACCTGGCTATGAATTTGGACAGAGACAAATGGCAGGTGCAAAGGGAAGCTTCCAACCAGCAGGGGCTAGTGAAAGTATTAAGAGCCAGCCATGCGTGGGACTTCTGGTTTGCGTCCTAGTGATGCAGCAGAGGGGATGCGAGCTCCCGCTTCCCATGGCTGATTTCGCTCTGCCAGGGAGCTCTAAAGGGGTCTAAAGTCGCCCCGGAGAGGCGATGAAGAAGGAGGGGACCCTCGTCGATCACGGAAAGACGGCAGTTGATCTGTTTGATCCGAGGAAAGCCCTCCAAACTGGCAGGGGAAAGACTGGCTACATTTCTGTGACTAGCCCAAGCTACTGACAACTGAAAAAAGAAAGCACTAATCAGCAGATCATAAACAGCGTGTTTGGAACTGGGTGAGAATACTGATTCTTTCTCTACTACTTTGATACTTGATTCCCTGGAAAAGACAAATTTACAAAAAGTAAGAAAGTCCCCAATGCGAGAAGGAAGGGGATTTTTGCCCCCCCTTCCAGAGAAACAAAAGTGGCAGCTTAATTCTTTTGGGGGGACAGAAAAAGAGAAGTACATAATATTAAAGTGGAAGTAATATAAAGACATAGCTTTAACAAACTTGAGAACTGAGAAAACTGTTAAGATTTTTCTTTTTGAAAGAATATTGGGGTGAAGTTTAAGAAACTTTAAAGCTGAAATAATTCTTCGCTTGAAGTCAGACACGCCGGCTAAGGAATTCTGGGAGTTGAAGTCCACAAGTCATAAAAAAGCCAAGTTTGAAGACCCCTGCTTTAAGTGCTGGAAAATGGATATCTAAGGACATATAGTGGTGGAACAGGGTATTGGTTCAATAGGGTGCCCTCAATTACAAATATAATTGAGATATGAGTTGGATAGAAAAGATGTTATAAACTAGAACGATTTTTATTAGGTACAATATTAGAAAAATATGATGAGAATGTTGCATGTATTAATAGTAGTAAGAATTGTATTTACTTAGTGCTGAAAAAATGAAGAAACATTACCTGAAGAAGAGAGGACCAAGAAAACACTGGATTGTATAGAAATGGACAAATCGATACTGAAGGATAAAGAAAAAGAAGACATAAATAATTTCAAATAGGGGATGTAGTTTTATCACTGGCCAGAAAAAAGGGGTAGAGATTAGGAATTCAATGTGTATTATTAAGTAAAAAATAGACCCAGACAACATGTTGTTTACTAAGCACTTATGATTTTGTAAAAATAATAAATTAATAAAATATTATATATATATATATATAAAAAAGAGCCAGCCACGCATCTGCAGCTAGAAGAGTGAAAGTGGAAACAGCAAATACATTAATGGGAGGTGGTGAACTAGAGCCACTGATTCCACAAGAATACCGTGACCTAGCAGAGGACTTTAGTGAAAAAGAATCAGAAATGCTCTCACCCCACAGACTGCAGAATTAAAATCATGCCAGGGGCCAAGTTACCTAAATAAAAAATGTATTTGATGACATCCAGAGAGATGGAAGAGCTCTAGGTGTTTATAAACAAGAATCTGGCTGGGGGGTTATTCAGCCAGCAAAGTTGAGGACGGTTACCCCATGCTCTTAAAGAAGAAGGATGGGTCCCTTAGGCTGTACATGGACTATAAAGGCGTAAACAGTATTTGCGTGGAAAATATGTACCCCATCCCTCTTATGATGGAAATGTTAAACTATCTGGCCAAAGGGAGGATTTTCACTAAACTGGATTTGAGAGAGGTGTACTACTGAATGAGGATAAAGGAGGGGGATGAGTAGAAAATGGTGCTTAATTGCCCCTGGGCTGATATAGGTTTCAGATGATGCCGTTTGGTCTGCATTGAGCGTCTCCCATAGTCATGCAACTAATAAACCAAGTTCTGCATGAGCACCTGTATAAAGGGGTGTTTGTGTACCTGGACAATATATTGATATACACATGTGAAACTGGTCAGAGCAATGCTTGAAAAATTACAAAAAGCTCAGCTCTACGTCTAAGTGTGATTTTCACAAAACCAGCCTAGACTATAAGGTATCAAATCTCAAAAGAGGGAGTGGAAATGGACCCCAGCAAAGTGAAGGCAATATTAGAGTGGGAATCCCCTCAAACCAAGACATAGTCACAGTTTCCTTGGTTTTGTGAATTTCTACCACCAATTCGTCCCTGAGTTTGCCCAGATATCCCTGCTGATTACCAACTTGCTGAAAATGGGAGGGGGGAGCAAAGCCGAAGCCTGGCCAACCTCTGAATTGGTCCCTCAAGTGCCGAGCTGCCTTCGAGAAGCTAAAGCACTTTGTAACGGAGCCGGTCTTAAAGCACCATGACCCGGACGAGCCATTTGTGACACAGGCAGATGCCAGTGATGTGTCTGTGGGTGCAATTCTACTCCAGAAAAATGCTAAGAGGGAACTGCAGCCCTGCGCCTATATGTCCCGCAAGCTTTCTAAGACTGAGAGGCAGTGGGCTATTTGGAAGAAGGAAGCTTATGCGGTCTGATGGGCTCTCTTAACCTGGAGGCAGTTCCTAGAAGGCAGTAAAATTCCATTTGAAGTGTGGACAGACCACAAGAACTTGGAAGCATTGAAGACTCCTCAGAAGTTATCCTCTAAGCAGATGCAGTGAGTGCAGTACTTCAACTTTAACCTCTGCTACCTACCTGGAGAGAAAAACCTTTTGGTGGATGCTCTCTCCCAAATGTCCCAATACAACAGTGCGCGAGAGGAAGTCTTTACTCCATCATCCCATCCCCACAATTCGTGGCACTAGCCCTCATGAGGCAGCAGAGGGAGTCGCCCCTGCAATCAACCAAAGACCTAGTGCAGCTATTGAGGGATGCCTTGACAAGAGACGAATTGTTTCAGTGGCACAGATCTGAGACCGGGGGACGCTTCTGTGGCCTCTGTGGTATGATCCGGGTGCCGGAGACCTTTTTCAGACTGCTACCACCTGGATCTGAGGCCGGGGGACGCCTCTGCGGCCCTCTGGCAGCCCGATCCAGGCACTGGAGGCCTTCTCCAGGCTGCTGTTGCCTGGAAACAGGCCACCGGAAGGCCGCGGAAGCGTCCCCCGGCCTCAGATCCGGGCAGCAGAGGCCTGGAAAGGCCTCTGATGCCCCAATCCGGCCTCCGGAGGTACGCAGAAGCATCTCCTGGCCTCAGATTTAGGCAGCAGCAGGAACCACAGCGGAAACAGATCTTTTCAAGGGAGTCCAGTGCGGCAGGAAGGAAGGGGGAAGCATGAGGTATCTTACTGGGTTCCCATAGCTCAGCATTAAGACCTGCTACTGAACAATCCCCTCCCCAAATTTAGTGAGAGGAGAGCACTTTGAAATCAAGGAGATCCTTGACTCCAGGAAATGTAAAGGGAAGTTGCAGTATTTAGTGTTGCAGAAGGGGTATCCTTTAGCAGATGCTGAGTGGGTGGCGGTGAAGGATGTTAGGGCATCTAGACCAGGGCTTTTCAACCTTTTCACCCATTGTACCACTTTTAGGATATGGCAACATCCGAGTACCACTAGCCACCTAGCAAGGTGTCAAAAACTTGATGATCCCCACCCAAAAAAGAAAAAAGTGATAAACACAGGTAGTTCTCGACTTACAACAATTCGCTTAGTGACTGTTCGAAGTTACAATGGCACTGAAAGAAGTGCCCCCCCAAGCACAGCCGAGCAAGGCACCTGCCCGCCCGCCCGGCCGCGCTCTTCCTCCTGTCCGAGGTTTTCATTGTTGTGAGCATTTCTGTTGAGGATTGGCAGTGGGGGTGGGGTGGGGGAGTGTTTGGTTTTTATTCCCCCCGTCTGCTGGGTAGTTGCAGCAGGTTTTGGTCACTTCACATGACCCTGGGACACTGTGACCGTCATAAATATGAATCAGTTGCCAAGCATCTGAATGTAAATCACAAGACCCTGAAGATGCCGCAACATTCCAGCTGATCGGCGCTTCTTCTGGGCTCAGCAGAAGCACCAAGATCAGTGCTGCTTTCCAGCTGATCGGTGCTTCTTCTCGGCTCAGCAGAAGCACCAGGATCAGCGCCGAGCTCCAGCTGGAGCCTGGCGCTGATCCTGGCGCTTCCGCTGAGCTTTGACAGCCCTGCAGCTCCAGCCATCTCTTGCTCAGGCTTGTGTGGTGCTGCCACCGGTTCAGTTCATTTCCCTCCCCCTTTTCTAGGATGGTCACGTACCACCTGCCAGGTGCCAATGTACCACAGGTGGTACCCGTACCACTGGTTGAAAAGCCCTGATCTAGACTCATTAGCAAGTTCCATGCCAAATATCCAAACTGACCCAGATAGAGTGCTGGGGTAGAAAACTGTGTTGTGTAATATTTTGTACATTTGTTCTGTCTTTTTCAGCAGTATCTTTCTTCTGGAGGGTCGGCATGTCAAGGCTGACTTGAAACGTACCTCTACTCGCAACTTGACAACAGAAACAAAGGGAGAGAGGAGGGGAATGCTTGGAATGTATTCGGAGATGAGAGGGAGATGAGGAATGTATGTGAAACATTTACAGCCTGAGAAAATCCTGACACTTCAAGGCCGAGTGATGGGAACCATCTGAAGATGCAGACTGTTTTCCCAAAATAAAAAGAATGTGTTGGATCGGTGGATAATGGACAATGGGTGGCCCAAATGAGGAAAAGGGGAAATTAACTATGCTGTTTTTCACACAAAAACCTCAGAGCTAGCTGCGTTTCTTCTGTGCCTGTATGGATCTATTAGTAAAGTTATACTCTTGGTAAAAAATAATGTCCCAGGAGCTTCTTTTGCTGCATATGCCAATGGAATGGTTGACACACTGTGGCAAATAGGGCTAACAGAATCAAAATATAATCTCTTTATCAAGATTGAAATCATGTTTTATTAACTCTGTTACACAGCACTATGACATGTCAGGTCCCCATAGATTCCTAGCAGGATGCTGCCATTCTGGCAGGAGGTGCGAACCTTGGAGTTTTCCTGTGATGTATCCATTTGTGCTTTGTTCCTCTTTTGCTTTGATGTATCTTTCTGGGAATGTGAGGGGGGAGGGATGAGCCTGGGGCCATCTGTTTTGTCTCAACTCCAGGAAAACAAGATCGAGGCGCCTGAGAATGAGTTCTTATTACCTTCTCAGCTCGGAGTTCTCATAACATCTGGATTAGTTTCCTGTGGACTGGGCAGTTGGGAGGGGTTTTGAAGAGTGGGTTTTAACCTAACGTTTTTGTGTGGGATTTTCAGATCCTGCCTGCTTTCTCTGCATTCACTGTCTCTCTATAAAAATTCCTTTTGAAATGCTGCTTGTTTCTAGAGTTCTGCTTCCTTGAGGGAATAGCTGAGGCAAGACCTTACATTAGGCAGGATCTGCAAAGTGGTCAACCTGGAGTGACACCAGCCCAACTGTGTGGACTGTGCACATGATGTCCAACCAGGGCAGTGAGCATGAAGAAGCCAAGTGCTGAGGGGTGACCTCCACAAAGACTCACTCTGACGAAGACTTAGCTGAATGGACGGAGGAAGCTGCCACCCTGGAAGACCTCACCAAACCGAGATAGTTGGCGTGGGAAAGGAGGAGGATTGGGAAGGGAGAACCAAAGGGGTTACCCTTACCTGTGGCAGCCAACAGCATGGTTGGAGGTGCAAGATAGAGCTGCTCTATCACAATGGCGGGCTCAAGAAAGAATCAGACCATGCTGATTGTCTTATGAAGCAAGCCATGTGCTTCATGATGGAAGCTTTCCAGACCCTGAAGGTGAGAGAGGCCCCAGGCCATGTGGAGAAGGAAGACCGAAAACCAGAGGAAACCGTGTGCTAATGGAGTGAGACCCCTACCCCAGAAACAGCTGCGGGCGTTGCTGAATCAGTGGAGAGCGTGGTGGTTACACCAGCCAGCCCACCTTGAAGGGCCCCGGGTGGCACGAACGTTCAAAGAGCCGGTGGTGGAGCCCAGCAGATGGAGTGGAAGGCACCCCCCCAGGCATCAAGTTCAATGGGGGCCCCCAGCATCTGGATTTTTTCCTCGCCCACATCCTCACCTACATACAGGAATACAGGCGGGACATACCTAGTGAGGGGGCTAGAGTCAGGGTGGTTACCCTGGCCCTGGAAGGGGCGGCCACCTGAGGGATGGTGACCTTGCACAATGCCAATGCTTCAGAGCTCCGAAAATTCAACCACTTTATGACTGCACTGAGGCGTCAGTTCAAGGACCCCCTCGCTATCAGAAGGCCGAGACCACATCAAGACTGTCAGGCAAGGTTGCTGCCTGGTAGTTGAGTACACCAAGGAGTTCCGGGACCTGGTGTGCCGCCTTAACTGGCCAGAAGACATCTTGATGAGCTGTTTTAAAGATGGGCTGAGTGACGACCAGTACCATGCCTGCATCACCCGAGGGGCCCCAGCTCGCCTACATGACTGGTGCATCCTGGCCGAAGAAGCTGAAATTGGCCAAGTGCGAAACCAGTACCGATCCAGCAGAGTTTGAAACGATCACCGCCCAGGTGGAAGAGGGAGGCTACCAAGCCCCAGGCAGTTCCACCATCTGCTTCAAATGTGGCAAGGAGGGTCACGGGGCGGCCGATTGCAGAGCCAAGACTCCAGCGAAGAAGGGAGACTGGATGCCAGGGGGAAACCAGTTAAGCCCTCACAATGCCCAAAAGACACGGTCCTGAAAAGCACAAAGATCGTTGAGTTCCATCCCAGCTCAAAACAGGGGAATAGAACTCCGACTCCATCGGAAGAACACCCGGGACCCTCCCTGGTAAGTGGGCCAATCGCACCAGTGACCATGCCCATGGAACTGTTAATCCCAAGCTTGGGGAAGAAAGTGGTCCTAAAGGCTCTACTAGACTTGGGGTGCGCCAGGTGCTTAATAAACCCAACCTTACTAGGAAGACTGGAAGACTCCTCTGCCTGAGGAGGTTAAAGAATCCAATCACTTTTTGCCAACTAGACAGGTCAGTCGCAGGGGACATCCCAGCCGCTTTTGCTACTGAACCCATAAACCTAGCATGGGAAGCCACTCTGAGACTCTTACTTTTATCGTGTCACCTGGCATGGAATGGCCTCCTGTATTAGGACTCGCCTGGCTCAAAAAATGGAACCCGCAGGTGGATTGGAGAAAGGGACTGCTGAAATTCCCAAAGAGGGAGCAAGTCCTAGGCAACAGCAGCCATGGAGCGAGGAAGGAACCCCACAGAGAAGTAGTGGCTTTGAGGCGCAAGTTGCTGCAAGGTATACCCCAAGAATACCATGACCTGGTCGTGGTGTTTAGTGAGGGGGGCTTGGATAAACTCCCCCCTCACTGACCCACGGACTGTGCATCAAAAATGTCCCCGGGGCCAAGTTGCCAAAGCCAAAGCTGTATTCCATGACTCCAAGGGAGTTAGACGAACTACACAAATTCACAGAAAAAAATTGGGCCGCGGTTTCATTCAGCTGGCCAGACCCTGGGTGGCAGCCCCAGTTCTGTTCCAGGAGAAGAAAAATGGGTCTCTTCATCTCTGCGTTGATTATACGGTTCTGAATGCGGTGTGCGTGGAAAATGTGTGCCCACTCCCACTCATGAAAGATATGCTGGCCCACTTTTCAAAAGGCAAAATATTCTCTAAACTGTACTTATGGGAAGCCTATTACTGAGCCAGGATTAAGGAGGGAGATGAATGGAAGACTGCTTTTAACTACCCCCTGGGGTGCTTCCAATTCAAAGTGCTCCCTTTTGGACTGCATGGGACCCCCGCAATGTTCATGCAGCTGATAAATGAAGTGCTCCATGAGGACCTATACATGGGGGTTTAGGTGTACCTTGACAATATGTTCACACTGATATGAAAGCTGAGCACATAAAATTGGTCAGAGCAGTCCTAAAAAGCTCTGTGCTGCCAAACTGTATGCTAAGCTTTCAAAGTGTGAATTTCACAAAGAGAAAATTGACTACTTAGGCTACTGGATTTCCCACGAAGGGGTGGAAATGGATCCGGAAAAAGTGTGAGCTATGCTAGAATGGGCACCCCCTCGCACCAGGAAGCAACAGCAAAGTTTCCTCGGCTTCGCAAATGTTTACAGGCAATTTATCCCATCCTTTGCGCAAATTGCCCTCCTCATCGACAACTTGCTGAAAACAAAGGGGCTGTCAGCCACTAAAATGGACTATGGAATACCAAGCCTCATTCAAAAAGCTAAAAAGACTTTTGTCCACTGAACCAGTGCTAAGGCATCCAGAGCCTGAAAAGACTTGTTATTCAAGCTGATGCCAGCAACCTAGCCATGGGGGCCATACTGCTCCAAGAGAATGAGAAGGGCCAACTGCAACCTTGTGCCTACACCAGGGCTTTTCAACCTTTTCACCCATTGTACCACTTTTAGGATATGGCAACATCCGAGTACCACAAGCCACCTAGCAAGGTGTCAAAAACTTGATGATCCCCACCCAAAAAAGAAAAAAGTGATAAAACACAGGTAGTTCTCGACTTACAACAATTCGCTTAGTGACTGTTCGAAATTACAATGGCACTGAAAGAAGTGCCCCCCCCAAGCACAGCCGAGCAAGGCACCTGCCCGCCCACCCGGCCACGCTCTTCCTCCTGTCCGAGGTTTTCATTGTTGTGAGCATTTCTGTTGAGGATTGGCAGTGGGGGTGGGGTGGGGGAGTGTTTGGTTTTTATTCCCCCCGTCTGCTGGGTAGTTACAGCAGGTTTTGGTCACTTCACATGACCCTGGGACACTGTGACCGTCGTAAATATGAATCAGTTGCCAAGCATCTGAATGTAAATCACAAGACCCTGAAGATGCCGCAACATTCCAGCTGATCGGCGCTTCTTCTGGGCTCAGCAGAAGCACCAAGATCAGTGCTGCTTTCCAGCTGATCGGTGCTTCTTCTGGGCTCAGCAGAAGCACCAGGATCAGCACCGAGCTCCAGCTGGAGCCTGGCGCTGATCCTGGCGCTTCCACTGAGCTTTGACAGCCCTGCAGCTCCAGCCATCTCTTGCTCAGGCTTGTGCGGTGCTGCCATCGGTTCAGTTCATTTCCCTCCCCCTTTTCTAGGATGGTCACGTACCACCTGCCAGGTGCCAATGTACCACAGGTGGTACCCGTACCACTGGTTGAAAAGCCCTGGTCTACACAATGAAAAAATTGACAGAAACTGAGCAACATTGGGCAGTGTGGGAAAAAGAGGCCTATGCAGTTATGTGGGCCCTCCTCGCCTGGTGACACTTTCTGAAAGGGAGTAAAATCTCTTTCCACGTTTGGAATGACCACAAAAATGTAGAGACGCTGAAACCCCCCCTCCCCAAAAAATTGTCCTCTAAGCAAGCACAGTTGGCCCAACACTTTCAACATTTTAATTTCACCTTCCACTACATACCAGGGGGAAAAAAACCTTCCTAGCTTATGCCCTGTCAAAGCTGCCACAATATAACAGTGCCAAATCAGAAGTGGTAAAGCCTTTGCTCCCGGCACGGCAATTAGAGCCTTGAGTAACCACGAGGGCACAAGCAACAGGTGGATCACCGCTAGATAATGCTGCTACTCTGGCTTTCAAACAAGCCCTAGAGAAAGATGAGTGGTTCCTCAACCACAAGAACCTCTGCTCCATGCAGGGAGGGTTAGCCTGGGTAGAGAAAAAACTATACGTCCCAGCCAAACTGAAAACAGTACAAACATGCCATGATTCGAAACTGGCGGGGCGCTTTGGGTTCGTAAACTCTGCACCTCTTAAAAAAGACAATTTTGGTGGTTGTCCCTAAAAAAGGACGAGAGCTATGTAGCTAGCTGCCCTACCTGCACAGCAGCCAAACAGAGGCAAGGGAAAACGCCCAGGCTCCTGCAGCCGGTGACAGAGACTTCAGCACCCTGGAGAGAGGTTTCCATGGATTTTATCATAGAACTGCCAGAAAGCGTGTGAAACACAGTAATTTGGGTGGTCACTGACCTATTTTCAAAACAGGTCCACTTTATCCCATGCCAGAAGATCTACTGCCAAAACTTTGGAAAAACTGTTCATTCACCATGTATACCGCTTACATGAGGCCCCAGTTGCATAATCTCTGATAGAGGGGTCCAATTAACTTCAAAGTTTTGGAGGGCATTTTTGGACCTCTTGGGGACAGACCAGAGGTTGAGTTCTAGTCACCATCCTCAAACGAATGGGGGGATAGAACGAACGAACTTAGTACTAGAACAATACTTAAGATGCTTTATTAACTACCAACAAGACAACTGGACTGACCTCTTGCCATTTGCTGAAGTCACTTCTAATAACACTATACACACCAGCGCAGCCTACACAATAGTCTGACAAAAGAAACCTGAATCTGAGAGTGGGAATGGTGGTGGAGAAAACATTTCAGAAGGCCTTAATAGGATGAATGCAGGAATTAGAATGAGGGATATATAACAAGAGGTATGAAACAGAATAGCCAAAACTTGTAAGAAGACCAGCCTGAGATCAAAGCTGGACAAATTTACAGAAAAGATTATTAAATGCTAAGAACCAACATATATCAGACATGTTATGTCTGATAATGAAAGCATGCCTTTTTTTATCAAATTCTCTTCTGTTCTGCTATATTAAAAAAGCTAAGGAACACTGAATTATTAGTTTTTTCCATATAAGATAAAAAAAACTGTTCCCACAAACAATGTCACTAAAAATTTTTCTTATTGTAGCTCTTGTTTATTTTCTTTAATAAAAAATATTGTCATGTTCGAGGAAAATATTTGCCTTTTTCAAAGATTGTGCTGTAACAATGGAGAGCAACTGCATGATCCTGAGAAAAAATGAATCTGCTTCAATGAGTTTTATATAGGTAAAAGCCAGTTTGATATAGTGGTTAAGGAATCAGGCTAGTAACCAAATGACATTAAGTTCTAGTCCTGCCTTAGGCATGAAACCAGCTGAGTCACTTTGGGCCAGTCATTCTCTCTCAGTTCTAAGAAGACAATGGCAAACTACCAAATATCTTGCCAAAAATAGGGGCTTTGCAATGCATGAGAGTACAAATGAAGCACCACCCTCTGAATCATTAAAACCACTGCATCTTTTGCCATATTTCACATGGCTGTTTTCAAAACTGCTTCCAGCAGTTTCCAAATATGTGTGAATGCACAACTACTTTATAAGTAGCTTTTAAGTTCCCAAGTAAATGTCATGCACATCCTTGCAGAGTGCCAGGGGCAACTTTCAAAACAGTTTGTGGAACTATGGCAAAAACATGGCTGCTTTACCAATTTGAAAATAGTTCCTCTTAATATTCCAGCATACTGCATTTTTAAAAAATAGTTTAGCCTTACTACAGATTACTAAAGTTGTCCTTGAAAATGACAGCATAAATGAGCTTTAAAAATGTATAAATGAAAGAAACTAAAACTAAAACTAAACTAAACTAAACACAATATTTCTGAAGAATATTAAGGCCTGGCTCTGTCAACTGGCATGGGGATCCAAGAGTGGCACACAACCCCAGGGATGGTTGGTGGCTTGAGTGCACTCTCTCCATCTTTTTAACTTCATCTATTTTTGTTGAGATTTTAGGGGTTTTATAGATTTTTTACTTGTAAACGGCTGAGAGTCACTTAAACAGTGAGATGGGCAATATATAAATTTGATAAATATTTAATACTTACCTGCTAGTGCCCACTCCCCAGAGCTGTGAGAATGTCCACTATAGTATAATATATAAGTATCATGCCTAGGTCCATCTGATGTCCGAAGTTCAAGAAATGACTTTAGTTTAGAATGTAATGTGTCAAATGAAAGTCCGCTTGTGGAATAATCACAGCCATAGGTCTCAATCATATGATATACAAAAAACCTTTGGATAGCATTAAGCATGCCTGTTGACCTCAAATTTAGCTCTTGCACATGCTCAGGTGGAAGCAATGTTGGTTGGCCATCAGGACTGAAGGAAATAGAAGAAAAAATGAAAATTGTAATGAATATAACATTATAAATTGCTTTACTGTCTAATGTTGTATTATGAAATAATTCACCACTGTAATTGCATACACTTTAAAACAAGACTGTTCAGTTATAAATGGCTTAAATTAACAGCCTAAACCATTGAAGAGTTCTGTCTCATTGATAGCATATGCAACGGACATAGTTTTTAAACATACTCCTACTTCTCAATGACATGCTAACTATGAATATCAATCTGTTTTTGATATTTCTAAGGAGGCAGACTTTGGTATAGATGAACATGCAAACGTGAAGTGGTTTTGCTGAGACATTAATAGACATTTCAAGAAAATCTAGCTGTAATCAGCAGAAATACATCGGCACCAATTATTCTATGACCTAGATTCTAGAAGAATCTCCCCCTCATTTTTCTATCAGTTTTAGTTGACAGAAAATTCAAGGGGTTATTAGAATCTTTTCCGTATATCTAGGCTCATTCATCACTTCTCTCCAGCCCATTCACCTCCCAAACAGATGAGGTCTCACATGAAGCACTGACTGACAGTTACAAACTTTCCAGATCCAAAACTATTGTAGAAAGCAAGTAAACACCAAATTGGTGTGAACAGATGTTTTCAAAAAAAAAGAAAAAAAGAAATAGTGATAGAACTTCATTTAGAATGTTTCTTTTATAAAAAATATGAATTGAACTTGCTGTTAGGAAGGATTTCATTCAGAACAAAAAGCAATTAACATTACCACTGTTTTCTTTCTTAAAGTTTAAAGTGCTCACTATGTCAGTTTTAATGATAAATCAACACATTACCATGGATTCCTTAAATGTGACATATGCAACTTCTCAGATTAGGATAAATAAAGGACAATAATGCAAATCTAGTAGTTAAATTAGCATAATTAGATGACTGCAATACTATGTATTAAATAACATGTATTTGCATTAACACTTACCTGCAAAAATTGGTAGGGATCACAACTGCATAGCCAACACATGTGCCTCCCAAACAACTTCCTAGTTCATGAAACAACCCATGAGCCATAGATTCAACGGATAAGACAATAAAAAAAACACTCATGAAGATTCCATTGGATTTCTACAACAAATGAATTTGTTGTAAGAATTGAATGCATATAATTACAGTTTATCAGTTTGCAAATGTGAATGAAAATACAGAACATTTAAAATCACAATATTTTAAACATGATTCAAATGCAATACTGTAAAGGAGGTAAGACAAGAGTGGTGACATTCACAGGTGGTGTGTAAAAACAAACAGAAAAGAAATGAAAATAACTAGCTTACTTTAAAAAAAGAAGACAGACTTTGGTCATATCTTGTGACAAGCTAAAGGATCATTCTGTAATTAAGCATGGAGATTTTGTAGCAATAGCTTTTCAGAGAGGAATAACGTACACTCTATCACCACTTCCAACAATGCTATTGTTAAATGAAATGTTTCTCTCTCTTTCAATACTGATTAGGAAAATCCAATATTTGAGGGTCTGCCACAAAGAAGAGGGGGTCAACCTATTTTCCAAAGCACCAGAAGACAAGACAAGGAGCAATGGATGGAAATTGAACAAAGACAGAAGCACCTAGAACTAAGGAGAAATTTCCTGATAGTAAGAACAATCAACCAGTGGAAAGCTTGCCTTCAGCTTGCTCCAACACTGAAGGCTTTTAAGAATGGATTGGACAACAATTTGTCTAAAATGGTACAGGGTCTCCTGCTTAAATAGGGGTTTGGACCAGAAGACCTCCAAGGTACCGTCCAACTCTGTTATTTGGTATTCTGTAAAACAGGGCTTTTCAACCTTTTCACCCATTGTACCACTTTTAGGATATGGCAACATCTGAGTACCACCAGTCGCCTAGCAAGGTGTCAAAAACTTGATGATCCCCTCCCCCCCAAAAGGAAAAAAGTGATAAAGTACAGGTAGTCCTCGACTTACAACAGTTCGCTTAGTGACTGCTCGAAGTTACAATGGCACTGAAAAAAGTGCCCCCCCCCAAGCACAGCCGAGCAAGGCACCTGCCTGCCCGCCTGCCCACGCTCTTCCTCCTGTCCGAGGTTTTCATTGTTGTGAGCATTTCTGTTGAGGATTGGCAGTGGAGGTGGGGTGGGGGAGTGTTTGGATTTTATTCCCCCCGTCTGCTGGGTAGTTGCAGCAGGTTTTGGTCACTTCACATGACCCTGGGACACTTCTTCTTCTGGGCTCAGAAGCGCCAAGATCAGTGCTATTTTCCAGCTGATCGGTGCTTCTTCTGGGCTCAGCAGAAGCACCAGGATCAGCGCCGAGCTTCAGCTGGAGCCTGGCGCTGATCCTGGCGCTTCCGCTGAGCTCTGACAGCCCTGCAGCTCCAGCCATCTCTCGCTCAGGCTTGTGCGGTGCTGCCACCGGTTCAGTTCATTCCCCTCCCCCTTTTCTAGGATGGTCGTGTACCACCTGCCAGGTGCCAATGTACCACAGGTGGTACCCGTACCACTGGTTGAAAAGCCCTGCTGTAAAAGAACTTGTAAGGTAAGTCATAATGTGAATATACAATGAAAGCTCAATATATGAACTCCATGTTCTTTACTTTTAGGATGGCAGCAACTAATGATGCCACTGAATAAAGGGCACTTGGAAAATGAAACAGACTTATTTACACCTTAAATAACTCATCTCAATCTTTATTGCAGGCATTAACTAGCATCAAATATAATAGTTAATGTACATCTACAAATGTAGCTGAACAAATTAAAATAAATGGCCGGGGATAAATATAAGAATTTTAAATCTATCCCTCGAACATCCCTTCTCATCAGCTGAAAAGTTTCAGCACTGACTTTTATGTCACCAAATCTGTTGCTTGCCCATCAATCAAATGATGAGATGCAGCCCACACAATAAAAAAGGTTGTCCTTTTTTTTAGCCCAATGAAAATTTTAGATCTTGTGGAGAAAAACAGGAGAAAGGAGTATTTAGCATGTTTACCAACTTGAGTTACCTATAAAGTAATAAAGGTGAGATAAAAATCAAATAAAAATCAAATAAACAGGGTATGGTGGATCCATTTCAAGGCATAATACTATATCCTGCTTTTATTTTTTGTCAAAAGCCTTAACCATAATTGTTTTATCTCTCTCTTTTGCTACACATACTTTAAAGAAAGTTTGACAGAGGATTGTAAAAACATTAAAACCTACCTGCCAACATACTGTACCCAAAACTGCTGTTGCAAGAAGGCTGAAAAAGACAAGTTGCTCTGAAATTAAACAAAAATGGCGCATTCCTTTAGATGCCATTACTCTGTCAAGGCTATTGTTCTCTGCTCTGTGTGAGTAATATATTTTGTGACAGTCATTAAGTTTTGTATGAAATCCCCAGAGAGTTATAAGAAAAATGATGTGACAGATGATCCAGAAAATGCCAAAAATGGAAAAGCCTGGTATTACAAAGTACCAGAGATCCAAATCACCTAGTTTAAGTGCTGAGAGGATGAAAAAAATCAGTTCAATAAGTCCAACAAAAATGACTGAGAATCTTCGGCAAATTCGACCACGATATAAATAAGGTTTCCAACGTTCTGTAACTGAAAGTCCACTGAAGTAAACATCAAGAAGGGGATCAGCTATTAGGCAACTAAAAAAATATCCCAAGGGAAATGGATTTGTTGGTATATGCAAGGATGGAAAAAATAACAAAGAGGCAAGGACTCCAAAAATTACTAAATTTGGAATTGCCAAAAATGATTTCATCCTCAAATCAATAATCAGCATTGCTAAAGCCACAATCAATAGAATAATACTCATGGATTTCTCTACCAACATAGTTGTACTGGCAATTGCAAATCCAACCAGCTCAAGTACTTCAACTGTTGTTAGTAAAATGGGCCGATGATGAACACAGCCACATATTCTCTGCACCAAAGCATATAATATTCTTATAATTATGGAGGAAAGAAGTAAATATTTTGTTGCTTCTTCCTTTACATCATTTTTAAAAGAATTATTATCCAGGAAACAAAGAAGGCCAAGTAAAAATCCAAACCAAAGATTAGAGAGACTTAAACTTGCTGCTTCCATTGAAAAATAGTAATAAAGTATACTTGCAATTCCAAGAACAAATAATCCAAGGATAAAAATTATGAGTATTAGTGCATCTGCAGTTTTTTCCCACCTGACATAAAGACCCATACATATCGCCGCCAACAAATTCATTCTGGCCAAATAGCCGAGGTAGCGGACAGAGGAATGCATGTTCACTTCACGATTTGCTTCTTCCAGACTTGTCATTGCTGCATACAGACAATGGCTTACACAGTAACGCAATGATCTACACATGTAAGCAGATTGGTAGGGATTATACCCACTTTTACAGAATATAAATGTTTGAATTTCATCCAAGAAATATGATGCAAAACAGTCTTGCAGTATTGCTTCATTTATAATTATCAGTCACTACTGAAGGTCTGAAAAACAAACATAACTTCACATTAATATATTGTATCAAATAAACAGATCCAATAAGTCTGCATCCTTACATACTGTTTTTCAGTAAGAGATAATTGTAGGCAACACAGTATTAAAATCTTAATATAGTAATATATGAATCCAAAAGGGAAATTTATTTTACATGTTGACTGCAAAGTAAATATGATACATTAGTCAACTTTTATTTCTTACTGAACAAAAGAGGCAGTGTTGTTGAACTAGAAGCAGGCAAAGCTAGGTCCTTGTCTTCCCTGGACATTTGAAGATTCCATTCATTTCTACTATTTTCCCCCCTCATATTTTGATTTTGCCATTTTTCTCATTATTTTGATTTTGCTATTTTTTAAAAAACTTTTCCATATATGAAATGGGAAAGTTGTCATACATTTCCCAAACCTAGTCTTATTTCCGTTCAAGAAAATGTGTGGGATATTTATTTATATATTTAAAGTATTTATATGACCACCCAACTTGCAAAAGTGTAAAGTCAAGCAGCACAGAAAAATAAAAATCTCTGTACTTGTAACTCCATATGTATGAGAAAAGATTAGTAGGTATACTGATGGCAAATTAATTCATTTTACAAAATACAAGATGTAAATATGCATCATATAGTAGTTCATCAGCATAATTTTATACCACCCAGGCCTCTTGATTACAGCCAAAAATGTAAGGTAATTTTTTAAATTGTTTTTGCAATATTTGGAAAGAATTTGTGGGGCAATGTTGGGTGCCTTACACCTTGTAGTAATATTGTGTGAAGGTTTTCAAAGGTAAATTGGCCTTTAAGCCCTGTACTGTACATCCATCTCATACCTTTAAACCCTTAAAAATCAACTCTGGAAACTACCTGTCCTGACTTCTGTAAATTGCACATGCCTGTTATGCCAAATTAATTTTAATATATAGTTATTTAATTTTCTGCCCTGGGCTTGTGCTTTTTATAGCATGGCTATATACAGTACAAGCATGGCAGATGCACATGTTTATTTATTGGGGAGGTAGGGGTGTCACCAGATTTCATTTTAGTTGGTATTGGCATCTACAGATTGGCAGGATAAGAAATCTGAAGCACGAACATAGGACTTTTTTTTTTCCTAAGAGGAAAGAAAACTTTTGAGTAAATGCAATTTTATAACTGTCAATCGAATATACTATTATTTTTCAGTTTTGTTTTAATTTTGTATAGGCTAGGAAAAAGGGAATTGATAGATTTATTGGAGAACATCTAAATCCATTGTAAGATTATTACCTATAGTTTCAAATGAAGATGTTATTATTTTCTTAATCTTTCTAGTATATAGAAACAGGTAGCTCCTTATGCAAACCATGAAAGAAGCATAGTTTAACTTTGTCAACTGCCTAAAACATATGTGCAAAATTACAGAAAATCGTCATCCTCAAAATATTAGAAATATACTAATCTTACATTTATGTTGAATTTATTTTAAGTTTAAACTAATCTGGAAAAAACTATGTCGATTTGACTAGTTTGAAATTTCTTAAAGAATCTACCAGTACTGATCAAACTACTAAACTGGAATATGCAAAATGCTCATTCCTACGCAAAAATATAGCCATACACTTTGGTTTATTAGGAAAAGAGAAGCGAACTCAATAATATTTTACTTTCAAAACTCGACAGACTGCTATTGCTGCTTCTTTGTCCCAGCAGCCCTAAATGATAGTAAAAATTCTTTTCTTAAGAAACTAATCTAATTATTTCTACACACAAATGATCCAGCCCTGGGCGTTTTAAACATATCAGTTTCATCCCATTTTGAACATGCAGCGCGAGGAAACAAACGTGTTTCCTATTTAATGCTATTAGAGGAAAACTTCGATTTCCTAACGAAGTAAGAGAGCTTGTGAAACGGGGTTAAGGCAGGATGGGGTCTATAGGGTGGCGGGTGGGCAGGACACCTATCTTAGCGGCTCATAGGCAACCCGGGTTCATCGCTTGACAGCAGCAGAGCGACTATTTGCTACTGGCAAACTAACAGCCTGGCAACGCAGCGGGTACGCAACCGCTAAATGAGGCAGGAGGCTGAGAGGGCAGATCGACGTCCTTTTTTCCAACGTCAAGGTGGGGCAATCACCACCACCCCCACATTCCAATTATGGTAGCCGGAAGAGGCAGTGGTCGAAGACCCTCAGCAGCCTCCGCGTCCACCTTCCGCCTCTGTCCTAATATCCCGGGTTCCCTCGAAACTCACCATCCGCCACTTCCTCCCAAAACTTCCCCTCCCGCCGCCATTTTAGCGCTTCCTCCAGAGTGTTCCAGGTGGGTACGGGAAGAGCGAAGGTTCAAATCGCGCAACGCTCTGCCCCCTGAGTGCGTGGTACCGCTCTTAACCCACAGCGGGAAGGCTGAGCGGGAGGGCGAAAACAGCAACAGCAGCATGAAAGCGTAGTGCTTTAAGGGGAGGTTTTTTTCCTCCGAGACTTAAGAGCCGATAGCAATGCAGAGACGTCACTCCAAAGCGGGAAATTTGAATCCCCTTTCAATCATGATGCCTTTTGTTGCAAGTGGCATCGCATGGCATCTTGTTTGCGCTTAGCCTGTGTACTTATCCAGGATTTATAGGATAAATCGGTGAGGAGGCGAAGTTCCTCTAAGGCAGGGGTAGGCAACCTTGGCTCTTTTATGACTCGTGGACTTCAACTCCCAGAATTCCTGAGCCAGCATGGCTCAGCTTGGAAACCTCTCCCTTCCCCTCAGCATGGCTGGCTCAGGAATTCTGGGAGTTGAAGTCCACGAGTCATAAAAGAGCCAAGGTTGCCTACTCCTGCTCTAAGGCCTTCAAACGAAACCAAGCAAATTAGCAACTCAACTTTGACAACTTTAAAGAGGTGTGTGATAAATATGCATCAATATGATAAATCTTCAGAGTCAGTTAAACCAGTGGTTCTCAACCTGTGGGTCGGGACCCCATTTGGGGTCGATCGACCATTTCATGGGGGTCGCCAAGCAAGGCTGTCTGCCATTTTTTTTGTCCGCCATTTTTTTTGTCCGCCATTTTCCCCCCCTTTTTCGGCAGGTGCCTTACCTCCCTTGGGCTGGGCCAGCTGGTGGTCGGCCTGCTCCATCTCTGCCACTTGCCAGCTACACCTTGGCCGGCGCAGGTGGTGGAACCACGCATGCGCGGCGCTCCCGGGCAGGGAAAGTCCTTGACTTACGACCGGTTGGGTAGTCCTCGATTTACAACCGGTTTAGTCCTCGACTTACGACCAGTTTAGTCCTCGACTTATGACCGGTTGGGGTCGCGGCATTAAAAAGGTTGAGAACCACTGAGTTAAACCTACAAAACAGTGGAGACTAATTAAATAGAAACAAATGGTGAGAGTCAGGAAGAGATAACATAAAGGAAGTAAGATAAACCATTTAGGAAAAAAATAGCTGGGTCTGAGAAAGGAAGAAGAGAAGTCATAAAATATATATACAGTTGTAAAAAGGAAATGGCTAGCCAGGAAATACAGGTTGAAGGGGAAAATAGGAAACTAAGCCGAATAAGATAAGAGGAAAGGCACACTGAAAAACAGGAAAAGAACTTATTGTTTAAAATGGGGCCATAAATATACTGAATTTAAAATAACCATTTAAATGTCTAATTTTTCTTATTCTTATTGTATATGTGAAAATGATTTAATGTGTTATCAGGAAATGTGTATAGGCGGACGGAAAGAGTGTAACCTCATAGTACCTCAGCCAATGGGGAAAGAAGAGGGCTGTAGCGGCCGGTGATAGGGATGAATAAAAGAAGGAGATATTGGCTTCCAGTTTGAGTTCCTGTGCCGATGGCGGCTTTCCCTTTCGCCGCCTGCCCCGAGGACGCGTAAAAGCCGCAGGAGCAGCGTCAAACAGCTGCTCCGCGGCTTGAATCCCCTTCCCCGGGCAAAGGGGAGGGGGGAGAGTCTCCCTGATAGGGGTAGAACTCCTGAGCTCCCACAGTTTTATAGCTGTGGGGGTGGAGGTGAGTTCCCCCGGAGTCAGGGACTTTTCTCCGCGCTTTGGGCTGCCTCCGTTCTAAGAACGAAGCCAGACACGGACTCAACCTCTGCTTATGGGAGATCGTGAGTAAATTTTGGGAGCAGACAGAGTGATCCAGGTGCTTGGGAGTGGCATGGATAAGAGCCTTCAGCTCTGATTTTAATAACTTCTCCATCAAGATTTAAAGTTTAAGAAGGAGAAAAAAAGAGAAAAAAATGGCCGTGGAAGGGCGTTTTGCTCTTTAATAGAGACTTTCACTTATTGAGGACTTTTACTTTGGCTTTCACTTTCTGCTGGATTATTATCATTTCAGAGTTACTGGTACTGTAGGTGAACAAAATATCTGTTTTGCTTTTTTGTGGCAGTTTTGTGGCAGTTTCAAGAAAATTTTAATGGACATTGTATTATACAAATTAAATTTGAGAAGAAGGGAAAAGAAAAGAAAATGGCTTCAAAGCGTGGGGGAACTTTTCCTCCTCCTCAGAAAGGCTTGAGCTCTTCTTCCTCAGCTGTACAAATATCACAGCAAACAAAACCTACTCCTCCACCCTCTCCTCCATTGCCAGCTTTAACACTGAAAGATTTACAAGATGCTTTAAAAGACACTGTTAAACAGTTTGAACAGAAACTTGAGGAGAAACTTGAGGAAAAACTTGAAGAAAAAAATGCTGAGATGAGAGATGATATAGTGTTTGCATTGCAAGCCTTGGCTGATAATGTAGATCGTGTTGCAGTGCGGGTGGATGATGTGGAGGAACATATTGAAGTTTTGGAAATTAGAATGGGTAAAGTGGAAGAGAGCACTGATATAAATCAGAATGAGATTCTTATGTCACAATTTAGAGAAATGGAACATGCGTTGAGAATAAGAGGGTTGCCTGAAAATGCTCAAGAAAAACTGGAGGAGGAAGTTATAACAGAATTAGCTTTGGTTTTGTCCTGCCAACCTGAAGATTTAAAGAGAGAAGTGGAAAAATTGTT